GGCCCCAGTTACAATTTGTCTGACTTAGAATTGGCTGCCGCCTAACACTATCATCAAACCACTCACCTCCAAACTCTTCGGTTTTTGCTCTTGCCTTCTTTTTTTGGAATCTCCAATTCAACTTTACAGAATCGTTGAGTGTGTATTGAATTTGTGTCAACTCCAAGTCTTGACCTGGGAGGTGCAAATCCAAATCTTCTTTGGCGTCAATCAGAAACACATTCTACCTCTTTCAGCTATCCAGATGGCATCTATAGATGAGAATAGCAACCCTTATGCACCATTCACACATGCTACATTTGTAGAGTTTAGTGCCTGGCTAAAGTCACCGGACCATAAAAACCGAGTATGTATTTCTTCCAACTTAACCAATTAGAATTTCATATCTAATATTAATATGTATATGATTAGTGGCTATTCAGTATCGACAAAGTAGCTGTGTATCAGAACTGGCTAATCTTTGAAAATGAGAAACCAGGACCAGGACCTGAGCAGCAAAAGAAATACAACCAACGCCATGATGCTAAAGCCTCTTATTTGGTGAGAGATGGCCAGCTCTTTCATAAAGGATTAGTCAAGGATGGAATAGTGGAACTGGATCGATTGGTGGTTTGTGATGATGATGTCGTTTACAAAATTCGAGATGTTCATTTGCAACTTGGACATGCTGGTATGAATAAGACCTTTATTGGAATTAAAGAGCAATTCTATGGGATAACCAAGGCAGAAGTGGAGTGGTTATTGAAGCATTGTCAGACCTGTCTACACAATAGACAAAATCACTCCTGAGCACTTCTTGAACCAATTCTATCTGACCATACCATGCAAAGAATCCAGATCGACTTGGTTGATATGAGGCACGAGCCAGACGGACAGTACAAGTGGATTTTACATATCAAAGATCATTTCAGCAAGTGGTCTTCCCTGTTTCCTTGTAACGGACAAGGTCCGAGCAGGTAGTCCCAGGCACGCCACAATCGGAACAAGAGATATAAACACGTTCGGCATCTCACCGAGGGTCTATACGTTGGGTTCCAGTATCCCACTGGAGGTCTTGACAAGGAGGAGCCTCGGTATCTAAGGTGAATCCGGCTTATTGATGTGCGGCCGAAGAGTGAGTTCCGGAGGGTCCGTGTCCCACGGGAGATCTATACTTCAGGACAGGTTCCCACCTCCGAGGTCTAGACAGATGTCGTGGTACTCCCACCGGAGGTCTAAGCAAGAGACAGGTATCCCACCTCAGAGGTCTAAGCATCAGGACAGGTTCCCACCTCCGAGGTCTAAGTCAAAGGGCCTCGTTGTCCAAGTTAATCCGTCTGATGGGTATGCGGCTGAGGAGCGAGGTTCAAGGAGGGTTACCGACATCAAGCCGGCGTCCACCCGCGAGGAGCATAACCAACTAAGGTCCAT